GCGCAGTGTCCCAGGGACACCATTAGGACACCAACGCTAAGGGGCTCGGAATCGGATTGAACGATGCCCAACGCCACATGGTGCATATCCTCGTGCACGCTGATCACCTCCATTTGCATCTTCGGATTCGAGGTCAGCTGCTTGAACGAGGCGATTGCGTCCGGCGTCCACAGGTATTCGTTCGCTTGCAGTGTCTCCACATCGGCCAGACAGCACTTGATGCATAGTTCTCTTTTCATGAATTGCTTGGGCAGCGCGAACAGCTGATCCCAGTATACCTTCTGGGTGGATCCAAAGTCCACGAGTCGCACCATCACGTACCCTAGAGTTCGAAACGTTAAATGAAGCACGTTATCATACCCCCAACTTTGATAGCACTCACCATCTTTCAGCAAATTCACGATGCAAACGCGCACCCAACGGTTCTCCAATTGCATTGCGCAGGCCATTTCCAAACGCCCCACTAAGATGGTCTCCAAATCTGCGAGTTCCATTCTGTCCATGGTGGTTTTCATCAAGTCGTCCAATTCGGAGCGCTCACTCTCACAGTTGTGGCGCATCACATAGAACTCTTGGGGATGACGCACCTGGAGCATTTGTATGATCAGCACGTCCCCGATTTGGTGCTTAGCCTTGGGGATGCGTTGGTCCTTGGGGGCCACCAATATCTCCAGGTCCATTGCAGCGCCGCCACGAGTACACGCCAGTCCAGAGTACAAAAAGGATTCGCGCACAGAAATGTTGGACTTGGTGATCAGGTCCACTTCGTGCCGTTGCTGCGTGCCACCCTGGCGCTTCACGACCAAATGTGCGGGACGGCTGCAAGGACGTTGGCTCAGTGTCTCTGAATCAGTTGCATAATTATCACTTACTTCTTCATGACCATCTTGAAGTGGGCACTGGCCTGAGCATCCCATTCGCAATTCCTGGGCTTCAGGTCGCTCAGGCTGCAGTGGACCGCCACATATGGAAACAGGGTCAAACGGTAGGGAAGTTCACGGAAGCTGCAAGAATTCGCAACATTTCAAGAGCATGGATGATGCGATATACGAGTATGCATGGAATTCACTTACTCTCTGCTGTGCACATTGATATTTAGGCCGATGTCGGGCAGAAAGACATCGTAGGTGTCGGGTATATTCGTCACTTTCTGGCGGACAAGGGCGCGGTGTAGGAAATCCTGGCCCTCTTGGTAGGCAATGTAGTGCTGGCCCACCACAATGGTAGTGGGCTTGGAGGAGAGCGTCGGCACATACGAGTCTATCTCCCGGCGCAATTCCTCGGCCGCATCGATGCCCAGAACGTAAAAGTCCTCTGGCGATTTGATGGAAAGAACACTCACCAGGGTATCGGACTTGAACCAGTCGGCGGGGCGTGGTAGATTCCCCCCCATCGCTTCGATTTGATTCGTACTGATGTCCATTGCCGAGAAGGTTCGCTCAAGTTCTTCATCCTGTGGCTGTCTGTGGATTTTCTCGGCCACCTCTGCACTCGAATTGAACCTTGGCTGGGCTACTCCGAAATCAATCTTGAACTGACGCTTTTGGTTCTGCTCCTGGCTCTGGCTTTTGGGATTCTTATTCTGATCCCGCATCCGTCTGCGAATAGCTTCCTGCTGCTGGCACATATCCTCCTTGCCGCTTCTCGAGCTGCGGCAGAACGAGTTCTCGCCATTCTCGCTGGACACGCTGAGGCTGCTCTGGCGCTCGAACTCGGTCTGGAAGAGCACCAAAATCCGGGGGTCTATGTAGTCGCACTCGAAATGCTTCTCGATCATTTGGGCCCACTTTTCGACCTTTTGGAAAAACACATTTTTGCTGGGCAAGCTGAAAATAAGCACAAGAGTTGAATAATCGTTGCTGCCACTTTGCCACTGAATATATGCATCTATATACATACCGATAGGGATTGCCGTCCACCTTGCTCACTTTCACGTTGCTGGGAATTTTCTCCAGATGCTCGTAGGTCAGACGCAACAGCTCCTTGAGCCACATATCCTTCGGCACTTCATTTTGCAGCAACTGCTGCAGACGCTGCAATGCCAGAAGAAGTTGCGTAAATCATTCATAAATAAAGGCATTCTCTTACCGCGATCACAGCCTCGTAGCCGTTCAGCATATCCATGGCTCTCTTCAGCTCCGTTTGGGCCGGCACGCTGGGCTCTCGCAGCCCCTGGATGAGCCTCAGCTCGGACATCTGGAGAAGGCCATGCAGATGGCCAAAGAGCTGCGTTATGTCGGCCAGCGCCTCGGCGGCATAGCCGCTCTGCTTCGCATCGGCCGCGCGCACCACCTGCGAATGCAAGACAAAAAGTAACGCTGTTTCAATGAAAAGATACTGAATGCAGATTAAAGCGATGTACATTCTAATGACTTGGCCACCTCTCAACAGGTGAGGTGAACGGCGCTGTCTGCGGCTCAACTTTTAATTGTGAATTTCTCAATCGGCAATCGGAGGCGACTTCTGCCTCGAATGGTGCTGCTGCCTGTTCATCCTCCTCGCCTCTTTGTTGGAGTTGCAATGATCATTATCAGAAATTGCTTGGCGCTTGTTTGGGGGCTTTGAAAGTGATTGTAAAAGCAACCAAAACTAAAAGCTAGCTGGCTTATGACAGCTGATTTGTAGCAGATGACAGGCAAGTTCGCGCCAATGGCCCGTTCTCCCATAAAAGGGCAGCCAATCCGATCCGATCCGATCCGAGACTCGACAACATCTCAAGAGTTGTCGTGTAAATGATGCCGATGCCGATGCCGATGCCGTGTAGGAGCCCGAATCTGGCACATCATTAAAACGAAACTTGGATCGTTTTGGACCTGCCACTCCAAATCAATTCACTTGACCTTGTCAAGGGTCCGCCACTTGATGTGTGTTAGGTGTGGGACATAGACATATTCATTGTTTACCTTGTCCATCCAACCATCCAACCATCCGCCAAACACCACACGTCGGGAGCCATTCAAAGACCGATTCATATTCATATAGTACAGTCCTCGCCAATTAGTTTTAATGGTCGCCCAGCCTCGTATTTTACTATTCAATAATCCGCAATCTCGGGCCCCAATTTCGAATTATCGCAAGCAGCGACCAGACCCAGCGACCAACCAGCGACTGCCTATCCACTTCCTACACGGACCACGAGTTTTATGACCGCATTAAAGAACTCTGCGAGTGGGCTCCCAGGCCAGACCAAGCCAGCCACGTAACAATAATAACAGCCAAGCAGAAATTAAGCAACCCAACCCGGCCAACCCGAAGCACCAGGGCCCATTGGCCGGCTTCCTTCTGCTTTGATCTGCTCTGGCCAAAATGTGAGCAAATGTGAGACTTAGAAGCCAGAAACACAATGAGACTGGCAGGCCGAAGCCTCGAATACCCTCGTCAGCCTTTGCCAGGATAGAGTTAATGTGGAGATGCCACGATCCATATCCAGTAGCAAGGATATCTATGTTTCTTGGGCAGCATTTATGGATCTATTAGCTCCCTGCCTGCCTGGGATAAATCTTAATTGAGAGACACTCAACGATCGCCTCTAGCTAATGGATTAGCGTTCGATCGCAGGTTTCCTGCCCGCACATCAATCATTTTGGATTGTTTCAAAAGCTAGGGAGATAAACGCTGAACTGATGCTGTCATAATTTGATCTGCTCTGATCAGCCATGTCCAGAGGCTGATTTAGTATGCCTTCGCGGATTGCATAACCTTGCGACGACGACATTTAATCGGTCTTTCGATCTTTCGGTCTTCGGGCAGTTCTTGGCAACACTTTGAAGCGAAAACATTGAACCTATTAGCGCGTAATTAAAGTTACACAAAAAACCAAATAAATATGCGATTATAAAACGCAATTTTCATTCCACCGAAGTGAACATACACATTTTTGTTTAATAAACTTTTGTGGTAAAATAAGCCGACGCCAGTCCATCAGAGAGACAGAAAGACAGACGCTGCACACAGTTCATTTTGGCCAGTTTATCAATTACAGACAAACGGACGGACGGACGGACGGACGGACGGACAGATGGACGGACGGGGCGGGCGGACAGATGGACGGACGGGGCGGGCGGACAGCTGCACGGACACTCAATTTGGTGGCGTTTTGTGCCGCCTCGTTAGCCAGCTCTCGACTCTCGACTCTCGGCTCAGAAATCGTAATGCGTAATGCCAGCTCGACTTTTGCCATTAATAATTGTTTCTCGTTTTATATAATTTGTGTACGCTTTTCTTATATCTATTTTTGCAATTAACCACGGGGAAGCGGACGTATCTGCAAGCCTCGGCGGAGCGGCGAGAGGAGAGGAGTGCTGTCCGGGCCTAATGTGATTATGATTTATGTGTGGGAGGCCTTGAGAGGCTGTCCGGTCCGGACAAGGCTAATTGAGCGTGCTGGGCCCAGTAGCCATTCAAATGCAGGCCCAGACCAGAGGCGATGACAGCAAACGTGGCAGAAGCTTCTCCTTTGTGGCAGCAACAAGGTCACTCGCGAGTCGCGACACTCTGATGCGAAACCGCCGAAAAATGAAAGGCCTCCCAACAGTGCCACAAGAAAAACCATTGAAAATATATGGAAAAACATAGTTACATGATTAATTAAAAAGCTGCAACTGCGGGTCATGTCTGTTTTTTTGTTCTTTCGGGTTTCTTTATGGCCTGCGAGAGGGATTCGATTCGCACAAGTGCGCGAAGGTTGCTCGGAATAGGGTCTGTCGCGCGGGGACAGGGTGAACTGTGATTCATCGGCCAATTGGAAATTGCGTAAGGCCGGCAGCCTGGCCAGATTGGAGCAGATCGGAGCATGGCCAGTTAGTAGCAGGCTAGTTAGTACAATTAAAAGCGGGCTAGCCGCAATGCGCTCAAGCCGAACATTTTCGGAGGCACGACAAACGAGTTCGGATCCACTCAAGACCGAGACTCAGACTGAGACTCAGAGCCAGAGCTTTCAACCGATTGGGAGCCAGTAGACCAGTAGACCACGTATTCGATTCAATTGAACAGCGACTGCAGTCAGTCGAGGTTGAAGCGTCGTAGAGAGCGTACAGCACACATTAACCGATCTCCCGGCCGATACACACCCGTCGAGATACATTTTGGGCCATAATAATAAAAGTGAAACAAATGCAGATCGACGACGACGATCACGGCTCTGCTCTGTCCGTCCGTCCGTCCGCCTGCCCTGCCTTGCCTTCGCCTTTGTGTTTGTTGTTGTGCCATATTCGTGCCCCATTGTCTCGACGCGACAGGAAAAACTGAGGCAACTGCTGGCTGCTGTTGCGGCAACTGTAACTGCCACTGCAACGTGAAGCACCCGCCCGCTATTTTGGTGGCATATTAGGCAACCCCACATACGAGTGCCTACGAGTGTGTGTGTGCGTGTGTCGCCGCTTTATAGGCCAGGCCTCATGCAAATTTGAGGCAATCTTTCGCTTTGCCCCAGCAACAACATCAGGAAAACACACACACACACAAAATAATAAAAGCAGAAAGAGAAACAAACGAGTGCCGCAATTGCAAATTGTCTTAATAGGCGGCTGTTGCCAATAAAAACGGATTGATCGTAATTGTTTTTTAAAACGAAATTTAACGATTCGTTAGCTCGTTCCCTCAGCACGCGTCTCCACCACATCGTTAATCGTTATCCGTTAATATTGTGTAAAACGATCGCGGTTTTGGCGGCCTTCTTGCCAATCGGTGTTCTCCAAGTGCATCCAAGCATCGATCATCAAGCGCAACAAGTGAGTGAGAAACAGTCGATCCATCGAGTGGAGAGCGAGTCAACGGAAGGAGACAAGCAGTGCAGAGTGCAGTGCAGAGAGACAGACAGAGAGAGCTGCAGCCGGGCATCGAAAAACAGCCGCAACATGTTGCCGAGAATAACTTTGGTGTTCATCATCATTTGTGGATATTTATTATACACGGGTAAGTGCAAATAAATCAAGAGTACCCTCCATGTGGCATCAAGGGGACTACGAAGTCAGGCCTTTTGTGGCTGATGATTGAGGGTGAAAGTACTTTTACTTGGCCCTCAATGATTTGCATAGACTTTGACACAGCACAAAGTACAGAAGTCTGGATATCATTCAAAATTTGGAGTCCCATCATAGAAGGTCTTGAAGCGTCCATTTTAGTGTTTTGAAAACTGGGAAGCTTCGGTCGAATCTTCTTCCATATATACAGCTCCCATTGGCATAAGTATTTCCTTCACTTTAATTTGAAATGCAGTTTACATTGTAGTCAGACTTAGGTTCGTCCTCCTTCAATAGTATACTGTTTAAAGATGTGTAGATTTAAAGAACAGAATATGAATGACCGCTTGGTTTCTTGGGTATGTTAGAGCTTATTTTATTCAGAAATACTATATGATTGTCCCTTAGGCCTTAGCCTTAGCTTAAGCATGGCAGCAGAGTATCCAAGTCCAGCTCCTCAATTGTATAGAGTACATGCATTAGTACATAAATATTGTGGTAGGATAACCCATATCAGTCAGTACGGAAGCCCAATACGGAATCCCTGGCATATATAATAAATAAATCCATAAATGTAACGCCCCACTAGAAAAATACCGAATATACGGTCACTGAGAAAAGGATACAGATAGACACTCGAGCATTCTAAATGGCGTTTCTAGGAAGTACATCCAAGTATTAACTTTGTTTCACTCTCACAATATGTATGTGCGACTACGATAGCAGGTGGTAGAGTCTGTCGGATGATCTTGGGCTGCTGACATACATATACAATATATATATATATATATATAATTCAAAATGTTCAGTTTATGGCAACGCCAGAGGGACTCGATCTAATGGGCTCGTTGCTGCACATATAGTAGGGATATGTAGTGATCCTCAGTGAGCTCCCTACAAAGAAACTCCATAAACAAGTACGCCACACGTCGTTGTATTGACTAATCGGGTATAATATTTATTCTTAGTTTTAAATAGATAACAATTAAGTACCTTTCCATACCTTATTACGTCCTTCTTCTCGCTTTCGAAGTCGAACACTTGCTCTACTATCGATATACCTTCCAATCATACCCTTGACTATCCATAACGATAGATCGGTAGTCATCAGCTGGTTAAAGGTCTGCCTACCCTACATACATATATTTCTATATGCTCTTGTGAGGAGTTTGTCTGGGATTTTCTTCCGCTATTACTGGAGGTCTCCACCGAATCTTCCTCCTTATAAGAGTCAGCTGCTGAGTCCTGATCTGCTTCTCTGAGAGAGCTATAAGTAGAGGTGGAATGAATTTTCTTGAAGCTTTCTTTCGTTGAAAGATTTAGGCAGAGACTTGATAACAAGGGTTTGCAGGAGTCCTTTACTCTGTTAAGAATCATCTTTCTGGTTATTGCAGCGACTGTTCCCTGCAAAGAGTGATCTTCTGGCGTTTCTTGTAGACTTTAGAATGCTTTACCAGTGCCCTAGTAGTTGATCTTGCAAGTGAATGGATAAATTCGAACAAACTCTCAAAACATGCTCATTCCTTCTCATTGTCAATCCTGCCTCTTCGTTAAAGCGCTGTCTGAATGCATTCATGGACTTATATTTTGATAAATACGAGTATTACTCAGCTGGATATACAACAGTATAGCATAAGTAGGGATCTCGTAGTCAAATTCAAATAAAAAGGGAACGTTCGCCATTTAGGAGGTGTCTTACCATTCACTGTGGCACATTTGTGGCGTGTGCCACTTGCTGCTGGCTCATTCAATCATTCAACCCCCATCGAAATCGAATGCAGGAATTTGCATATCAATCATTCGCTGGGTGATATGATTGAGTGGCATATTGATTTATGGGATTGATCGGACGATATTGTATTAGAGGGAGGACAGCCATTCCTAGTTCCAAAGTCCAAGCTGAAACCACATGGGGGTATCTCTGAGTACAGCAGCAAGAACCGCATTTATGGCCACACCAGCCTGCCACACGTTGCTTCTTTTGGTGCGGCTCGGCTCGGCTCGGCTCGGATTTAGTTAAATCAAATTACAAGCAGAAAAATGCAAGTTAGGCGCAATAAATTCAAGCAGATTACACGACAGCGTCGCCACTTTGATGGACGTACTCCATACGTATCTCCGTATGTACATCTCGTGTATCTTTGTATCTTTGAGTGCGAGTGTGTGAATGAATGCTGGCGGCGGTGGGAGGTGCAGACTGAACGAGTGCCTTGACGTGTCAAGCCCCGACAAAACCGCAAGCCGAAACTGCCTCCAAATGGCTGCGATGGCGATGGCGATGGCGATGACGACGGCTGCGTGTCTCTCCATTTTATGGTCCGCGGTCCCCGCCGGTCCCCTGGCTGTCTGACCACTTGGCGCGCATGCGTAGCGTATGGGGCGTTTGGGAAGAGAGCCGCGCCGAGCAGCGACGAGCCTTGCAACATCCCCAGACTCGACACGAAACAACGCGGCGGAGTATTTATATGTTTTATTGGCCAATGCGGCAAAAGTTCAGGTTATTTATGAGACGTCTTTTGTCCAAGACTTTCTAATCCGCCAAGCCCCATCATCACCATTAGCCATTAGCCATTAGCCAGACAGAGAGCCGCATACACATTCCCCCAGACAGGAAAGTTCTACTCGTATTTGGCATCTGACATTTGCCAGAGATTTGAAGGTTGCCCAAGTCCGCACCCCAAAAAACCCAAAGCGAACCAAATGCTGCACGACATTTTCTGTGGCAAATGCAAAAGCAACATTTATATACATACATACCTGCATATACTAGGTATACATATGTATGGATACGAAAAGTAATAAAATTAAGAGACCAAGTCGAAGGCTGTGTGATCCGCCTTCGCCGTCGTCTGGTCCGCTTTCTGCGCTGTTTGCCATTTCAATGAGGTGCGATTTGTGGCTGCCTCTAATTAACCGTCGGTTCCTCGGTCGCTCTGGCATTGTGTTTGTGATTATTACTTGGATTTAATACAAATTTCATGTCAAAAGCTGTTGCCCACTCAGCCGACGAGGCAAATGTCAAAGCGTGGAAGATTGTTGGGGATATACCCTGTACCCAGCAGTTCCGGGGTGTATTCAAATGGGTATTGGATATTCAGAAAGCCCTGACTAACTCAAGGATTAGGCTGGCCATCAAATTCATTCAATTTTAATTGTATGTGGAACCTGCGGGAACCTTTGTTGATGCTCTTCTTTTCTGCATACTAGATGACAAACCCCCTTCGAACAATGTCATTTGCAACATCAATTTAATCTGGATCTGTCTTCCTACCTTCTGACTCATGTTTCATGGGGTCATTTTTTTCGGTAGAGCCAAATATTCAACATTTGGCGTTGTTTTTATCTACGTTCCAATAGTGGTAGCTCATTTCGTTCATATTGTGCCTCGTGGGATTGAGATTCATGAAATTGCTACATGCTCACACGCACATTTTCGTTATCTTTTTGGATTCGTTCGTCATTCCACAGCCAAAAATGGACCAACTTGCGTCGTGCAGGCATTGTTCATTAATATAGAGTATCATAGATCATAGAGTATTGTGTGTTTAGCTTGTGTTCTTTTTTACTAGCTGTTACGAAATGTTCAATTCAAGATGGAAGTGCTTTTTATATATCTAGCATATACATCAGGCATCGAAAAGTCGAGTCTGGATTTAAATATTAAATTCCTCTACGGAATCTCCCAAAGGGCAGTACCAGAGTCCTAGCTCTAGTTTATAGAGCGAATAACCCTTTGGAAACAATATAAATGTGGGAGTTCTTAGTCTTGCAATCACTTTTACTGACTGCATACTCCTCTTGAAGACAGTCACTCGACAAGCACACACAATCTAAAATTTGAAAGTGACTGGTAATGCCAAGTGCTTCATAAAGTCGCGATTAAGCGGCGGATCTAGCTCTCTGTTTGGATCTGGGGAATGCAGCAAAGTTCCTCAAGCTAAGGGGCCCATCTCGAGACGAATGGCTTCCCACTCACATTAAGCATTCATTCGACACAGGCAGCCGCCACACAAATCAGCCGCACCAAGCCAGCACACGGCGTATACGTAATGCATGCCACTAACTGCTTAACAACCTTTTGCTGCCACTGCCGCTGCTGCCTCTACTGCTGCTGCTGTTGGGTTAAAAGCCAGCACATCCGCTTTAGGCATCATCGGTCGCAGCAAATGATTTGCCATTCGAATGCAAATGATTTTCAATTATTGCGAGATGCGATGCCAAACAGCTAATTGTGGGAAAACGGCAAATGATTACCAAGCGGATGCCTTTATGATATCGAGTCTCAGTCTCAGCCCCTGGCCACATATGCGACCCACTCTATGGGTCAATAAATTCTTTGTCGCACTAGGATGTGGGTTAAAAGCCACCGTGGCACCAGGCACCAGGCACCAGGTGCAGGAAATATTTAGCTTCGTCCCAGACACGCAACAAAAATTCTGCATCTGCATCTGCATGTTCATATTAATTGATTTATGCAAATGCAAACACCCAGAAAAAAGTACAGACCGACAAAAAGACACAAACATTTTTGCGCGTAAGTCAAACATTTGGTACACACGAGAAAACAATTTATGCGGCTGTCAGCCACCAGCCAACACATCGGCCATCGGCCATCGGACTGCATCGGACTGCATTGGACTGCATTGGACCATGGGGACGGACCATGGACCACCTCCCCAGCGCTGACATATGCAAATGGCTCGCTCGAACACGGCCCAAGACAACAGCTCCAGCGATAAACTGCACAAAAAATGCAAAAACGGTATGCGGTGTGCCACACACATAATACTAATCCCAAGTTTTAATTTCGATTTCAATAGAGTTTTTCGCAATTTGTCAATCTGGCACATGCTCTTCTTTGGAATTGTGCCATATCAATATAATTATAGACTCGAATACAGATATCCTTTGCAGACATTAAGCATCAATACCAGGCTTCGGCAGCCTGTGGAT